GATAAATCTGAGTGCTGAACTAAAAGTGTAGTGGGAAATTTGTCACAGARAACATTCTCATATTTCAGATTTCTTGTGTATCTTTCTTATAAAGCAGAATATTTCAAGTTCTGCTACTGACATGTACAACTACAGAAATAGAAACAGGTTAATAAATACAAATGCAATTCTTAAGTATCCAGATGTGAGAAAGGTAGGCAGAAGTTCAAATGAGTTCTAAATTAGGTCAGAACATGCAGTGGTTTTCTGTTTGATAAAAGTATGCAAACTTGAATGAACAGTCAGTTTGAAAAGTTAGTGTGGATAGAAGGAGATGTGAATGTGAAAACAAAAATAATGGCAAGCATAGAACTTATTATTTTGGCTAAAATTTAAAATTATTTAAAATGTTGGGTTTAGCAATACAAGTTGCCTTTAGTTCCAGTAGGATACACACTTCAGTAAGTGAATCACTAAAAACTTTGTTCAATCATACCTCTCCCCTTGCTCCTCAAGGGAATTTGCAGTTCTCATTCAAAAAGAGTCATCTCTTTCACAGGTTGACTAAAATGAACTTTTTTGGAATCTAAAAGTAGCAAAGCAACTAATACTGTCTAGAATTAAATCAGGTAAACTTGATCAAACAATTAACTCATCCCCTATTAAATCAATATTTGCTGATGTTAATACTGGAACTAGGTCCAATAGTTGGAATTACAGTCACTGATTCAGTGTCTTTATTATTAGTAATTAGGCTCCTGTCTTTCTCCAGTTCCACTTCTCAAAGTTAGTACTTGGTTTACTTTTAGAAACTGGCCTAGTCGATACCCAGAGTATGCACTCTGCACACAGTGACTGTGTGACTCCATGAGAACAGAAATGAGTTCAGGTGCATATTGCTGCAGCCTAACTAGACTGGCTGCTGTGGAGCCATAGCTTGGGGATATTTTAGCAAAACCATTTTTGCTGATGTAAATTCTTGTAAAAAACAAGGAGAGTTCTGGCTGTTGCATTATAAGTATATTCTTGGCGGAATTTTTCTTGCGGTACAACTGCTGTGGTGCTTTTGTAGCAGCTTCAGTTCACAGAGGTTCTTTTCATCCCAATAACATTGTATCCATCCTCAGCACTTCTAGTAGCACATGTAACTGTGACAAATTATTAATTAATTTCCGCTGATGCAGTAATGTGTAATTCTTCTCTTTGCATTGTACAATATATTTTTTCCTTCTTGGATCTGATTATGTTCTTTTGGATGTTAAATTTTCCACAATCTTATATGGGCTGATCTTATTCTTACTATTTTTTGAAGGATTTTCTTCAGCATGATCTCAGGTCTGCAATAGCATCCTAGTGTTTGTTCTGCTTCTGAACTAGCTGAAGAGAAATTGTTCCAGTATTTTTCAGACCCTGAAGGATGCTTTGGTTCATATCTAGCATTACATAATCTAACACCCACCTAATGAACATATGTAATAAAGTGGGAAATACAATAGCAAAATTGCAGTAACAACAAATACTAATCTCAATAATGAGATTGCAATGTAATAGTTACAGCAAGACATCATATTAGACTAGCTTTCTCTGACCTTCAAACTTACTTACATTACTTTCGAATCTATGCCTGTTAGCAAAAAGCATCCTGCTCCCAACTTATGGGTCCATTATTAGGATTAAAACATGGGTTCTGTTTCCTTTGAAAGTAGGAAATAAAATTGTTATAATATAAACTATGGAACTGTTACTTTTGTCTATGACCCTCAATCCAGGATCAAGATTAGTGGAGAAAATACTCATTGTGTATTATAGCTGAAATTCAGCATTTCCTAGATGCAGTTTTTTCGCAGTGATTAAATGCCTATTTTTATAAAGCTGTGTATTATCATCTAGGCCTGTAACTTTGGCGTGGGGGGCTGTTACCTATGATGTAACTTTTTACCGTGATAGAACCAGATTAACACCATCACTTGATTGTTAATTGCAGGTTGGCAAAAGAAAAAGTTATGTATGAAAAAGAAGCAAAACAGCAAGAAGACAAGATTGAAAAAATGAAAGCTGAAGCATGTGATGATTATGGAATTAAGAAGCAGGTAAACTACCCTAGAACTTGTTTTATACAATCCTTATTTGTTTTCATTTAATCATAGTTACCTTTAGATAGAAGAATTTCTGTACCTTTTGCCAGACTTATGTTACATAAATATTAGACTAAAATMCTGTCCACAACAAAAGTCATGAAAATCAGCTGTAGAAAGTTCTTCAAGGTGTTAAACTATAAGGATTTTAGTAGATACATATATGCATGTRTGTATATATATAGATTAGTTAGCACTCTGTGTCAGGATGGCTATTGCTCATTATCTGTCTGAGGCCATCATGAACTCTTTCTCAGAAATACTAAGAACCTGTAGTAAAATGCGTGGTCTGTATGGATATAAGTAAAACAAGCGCTTGCAGCTAAGTGTAAATATTACAGCAAAATGAGAATGCCTGATAGTTAATTTGAAGATGAAACATTTCAACTCTTGAGTATACAGGTTTCCTTTTAGTAAAATCACAGACTTCATTGAAAGAGGGCAGTGTGTATGCAGCTGCAGAGCTGCTGTAGTTTGTAGTGGTCATAGATTAGGAAGGGGCATGTTGTACTTTAGTCTGCTCGAGGTTTAGTGTCACTATTACAGTATGATAACATTTTTTCTTGAAAGGTTTCCCACAAGGATAGTGGTTGTAGACAATTGGTATGTACTCTTTTGGAAAAAAAAAGTGTCACATTTCCTGCCCAGTAGCAGAAGGCTTGGGTTGGGAGATTGGTGTTTATTCTCTACAGAAATGTGAAATGTCTGTTTCACCATGGCCCTTTATTCTTTCAAATAGCTATGTTACCTTTTGATTATGTTTTTTCTCCAGATATTTCCTACATGTTTTTCCTCAAATATTCACAGAAACCAAACTGTAAACTAAAATTATTTTCACTTGATAGGCAGAAAGATAACCTTCTAGTGTCCTGTCTTTATTTTTAAATGTTGGAGGAATCAGTTAAACAAAACTCAAAATATAAAATTAACAAAAGATAGGAGAAAGCACTTCTAGAACAAGCTAAACCAAGTTTTCTTAGTAAATTCATATTTCAGTTCATATGTCTATGTCCTGCCTTGCTTTCATTAGGCCATAGGAATGAAATACAAATAAAGAATTAGTATACAAATAAAGATTTGAGTGGAGCTGTATTCTGCCTCGTTGAGACTTGAAGATCCTACAAAACAGTAGCCTTCCTGAAGATATGATGCTAACAAGAACTAATGAATTCAGTTCCCATTTTCTGTGTTGCCCTCTCATGAGATTATTTGACTGCATCATGGTATTTCCACAGTGATCTGCAAGTCACAAACAACAGTGGCTGCAAACTTCTGCTGAAATTAAATGTTACATACTACTTGACGGTATTTTCAGAGACCAATGACAAAAACCTTCACAGAAAACAGTGATTCATTCACAAATTGCCTGATCTGCTTTGAAAGCAATCAGTTCCTCCAATGATGTCTTCACTCCTTGTTCGTTTAATGCATTTTGCATTCTGGACATTGTTAGTATTTTATGTTATTAAAAATGTGGAAACTTAAAAGAAAGTTATATAATAYCAGGAGAGTTTTCTCAGACCCATATTTTGGATACAGTTAAGACTTTCAACTGTTTTTCAGAAAAGGTATCTGTAATTACACATTTTAACAATTGCTTCTAGTTAATGATCTCTTATTTGTGTTCTAGAGTGAATAACTTAAAATACAGTTGTAGTCTTTATTTTGGTTATAGAAGAATACTATTTGGAGGATGGAAACAAAATCAGTTATTTGAGATTAAGAGAATAGTTCTAGGTCAGCTGAGGTATTAGCTATATCATATATATATGTGTGTGTCTATATATATACATACACAAATCAATCCAGAATTCAGGGAGGTATTCCTAAAAACCTTAAAAGCATTACTTTATCTTGATATACTACTGTTTTCATTTAGCTTTCTACTTACAACTGAGARCATACAGATTTACATACGTAAGTGAATGTGGAAAATTTCACTTTGAAGTGAATAATGCCATTCCTACTGTATATGTAGTCTTTAGAGTGCATCTGGTCTGTATTGTGGAATCAGTCTCTTTGTAGAACAATAAAGTTTGACTCAGTATTTTTCTTCTAACATTGTGGCAACTCATGGTTCTAGGGGATCGAATGTTCCCTAGGTGAGGCACTGACGACCTGGGGTGTTTAGCAATTGTTAGATGCTACCCCCACTTGTACTGTCAGAAATACTTGCTTAATGAAGAGCAAGTTCAATAAAAACAAAAGGGACAGTTTTCTTGTAATGCTGGTAGGTGCTGACTAAAATTATAATTTAAAGATTCCATTGTAGGGTGTAAGAAAGCTTCGTTATGGTAACAAAATATTAAAATACTTTCGATTTATCCCACCATGTACAAGTACTGCTTGTAGTTTCTCTAGGTAGCAGTAAGTAGTGAAGTTCTACCTCCCTGTGCATTTTGTCATAATGAAGTCTTAGTTTCTGCACAGCTATAACTGTTCTCAATATATTAAGACTTTACACAGAACTTCATAATCTGACTGTAACAGATAATTTTCACACAGTATCATTTGAGTACAGACAAATGGTAGAAACCTGTAGCCTTCTGTATTTCTGTGGTTATTGATGTTCATATGTAGGTAAACATCCTTTTGCAGCTTATGCTTTTATCTTGAGACTTGTGAGCGGGAGAAAGCAAGGTATCTACTCCATGTTTCCTCTCTCTGGGATTCTCATATATTCTGATGGTTTTGCTAACTAGCAACATTTTTACTGATAAGTGATAAGTCTTCATTTTTTAAAAAGAAATTCTCCAGTTCCAAGTTACTTCCTGAGTAATGTCACTCCTAGATAAATTGAAAATCCARTGGATTTAACACAGAATTTAATAAAAAGTAGTTAAGAGTAAATAAAACAAATCTTGCTAATACACAGTTTTTTTTCAAGTGTTTTTGAAAAATGCGTTATTTCTCTTGCCTTGTTGAGTAAAAGAATGCCTTTTGARGCACCTAAAAAGACATACATTTGGAAACTATTTACTATATTGGAAAATAATGTGGAAGATTGTAATTTGCTGCTAATCTTGTTACAGGAGGACTTTTGCTGAAAGGAAGATTGTAACATTCTAGAAATTTTTAATTTTTAAATGTCTTTTTAGCCTTAATAAATATTCTGGTTAGTTCAGTTGGTTTTTTACATTCTTAGCTCTTTACAGCTCCCCACCTGATTGGTTAAGTTTCATTCTTCTCACAGATCGACTAAGATTACATGAAATGTACAATTCCACACCAGCCTCATTATTTGCATAATTAGGTTTTTTGCCCCCTCAGAATAGATCATCTTTGTTTAGTAATGAATTCTAGGTCTAGATGCTTAGTAAAGAGGCACTGGAAATGCTAGTGAAGATCTAATGCTTCTCCTCATGTATTTGGAGAGTATCCTTAACAAGCACATTTTTTTTCTTGACAAGCAACTTGGAATTCTCTAGACTAAGTACAGCATAATATTCCTAACATAGACCTGGTATTAAAAATGCATTCATATTTTTGGAAATAAACCAGATTATGAAAAAGCATTACTGTGATCCTCTTCTTTCCCTTTTGTTTTCCAAAGAGTGTTTTCCTTTTTATCTAGGCAGATATAATTACCTTTTGGATTCCATTCCATTCTTAAGTCTTTCATGTCTTAAAGTAATCTGCTGTAGAAGACACAGGATTAGACCGTATCTTAGAGGAGCTGTTGAGAAAACTCATTTGAAATACCAAGGTATTAGATCTAGAGGGTTTCCTCCTTGTCCTTCAACTTTCATGCTAGAAGTGTGTCGCGGGTTTAAACCTGATTTTTTCCTAATAACAAAGTGGTAGGTGGTTTGTTGTTGGCACATGGCCATTTTTTGAAACATTCAAGCACTGTYGAAACAAGAGTGTTTTCCAGYTCTTTACTGAATCTTTCCTTCAAGGTCCTTCAGGAATCTTTCGATCAGTGTATTTGACAATTTACCTACAGTAAATGTGCTATTGTACTCTGTGCTTGTGTAGCTCAGGCTTCTTTTGGGCCTGAGAGGTTATTTTAGAGAAGTAGAACTCATAAAACTGAGTKTCCTGTAATTCTTGTGTGCATTTGTGGACTTTTTTTCTGTCCAAATTTACTTTAACACTGTATCTCCTTTGAATTCCTGTCTTCCCTATGCCCAGCTTCTTCTTACATCATCTGTGCTGTACTATTCCTTATATCCCCACACCACCATCCTGGCCCAGCACACTGTGCCTCGAAACTACTCCTCRTTTACTACTGAGATGAGAAATAATACAATGGTGTGGATTTAGGTTACAAATATGCATTAGCCAACCAATGGCCATTATTTATTTTGTGTTACAATCCCCCGTACTTAGGGGGATTACTAAATTTTGGAACCTTTGGTATTCGTGATACTTAGAAATGGCTTTTTTTTTCTTTTACATCTCTGTCCTTCCACCAGATATGGCTGTAATTAGTCAGGGGATTCCAAATGTTTTACAGACTTTTTAATGAAAACTAATTCAAACCAGTAGCACTTGTTTTAGCAAACGATTATCTGCATGTCTTTTTCTTCTCCTCTGCCATCTTTGAGTAGATCTATATTGGTAGGATTATCGGTGCAACAGAAAAYGGGCAAGTGATTATGTGACAGTATTTAAAAGTTATACTGTATCGATATGTGTGTATATAATTGGTACATATATGACTCATTTACATTTGTCATGGTTTTGAGTCTACCTCTTCTGTTTAAAGACCACTCTTGTCATGTGAAACAATACTGCCACTATACCCTGTGACCAAGTAGTATATCAGGCTGTCCTTCTRAGAGCAAGGAGAGCCCTGTGGAGGTTTTCTTTTGTTGCTTTCAAATTATTTGTGGATCTGCATATCTCTAAATCTCATGGTTAGAYGTGGGACCTGGGAAAAAAACCCAAATCAACACACTCTGCTTCTATCACTTTGAAGCTGATAAAACTGGTATCTCTTCCTCTCTTATTATTATTACTGCATTTTTTTCAATTATTAAATTGTTCTTAACCACAAAGTTTACCTTCCCGTTACCTGCTCCCCAGCAGGCTGGGGACAGGAGCAAGTGAGCTGCTGCCTGGTCCTTAGCTGCTGGCTGGGGTTAAACAACAGTCTTTAGCTGGAGTTTGAATTGCCCCTATCTGGTCAGTGGAATTTGAGTATCTGCAAGTGAATGTCACAGGAACGGAAATGGCTGCAGTACCTGTCACTGGAGTTTGAGTGCTGTCGTGCTTGTCACTCTGAAGAGTTCAGTCAGAAAGTCTGGCAGAATTTTGATAGAAGTTGGAGAACAAATACTTTTAACAGTCCAGTCCTAAAGCTTATATAATTATTTGAGCTGTTGACTTTGCTTTATTATGTGTTTGTAAAAGTAAATAGTCTATCTCGGATTATTAGCATTACTTGAAGAAAAAAGTGATCTGTGCAGAAGTTAAATGATAATGGTTCCCCAAAATTTCTGTTCTAATCTTCAGCTGTTTGCACCTGCTGAATATAGTTCAAAGATTTATCATCCTTCTGATTTTTATTCATCATTGCATAACCACTGGCAGACATAAATAAAACTTGGTTACCCTTTTTTATCTCAAGTCGAATGTTGTTTTGAATAGAACGATTTGGGTAGATGTGTTCATTTCTTAGAGCAGGCAGGAGTACACCTTACAGATTATAGATTTAAATGCCTTCTCAGGTTGCTTATCTAGTGGCAGATATYGAATTATTAATTTCATACCATCTACAACACACAAACATTTAGCAATGCTGGCTCAAGGAAGTAATTACTGGATATTCTCACTCCTGTAGGTATTCTACTACGTAAGGTAAGAGATGTCATCTCGTGCAATTTATGGCACACCTCATTCTGTGGATGTTACACTGACTGATGAAACATGTAAGATTAGAAACTAAAGTTTTTTTCTCTCAAAACCAGCTGGACTAAGAACTTACGACACTTAAAACCATGGTGATAATGTCTTGTTATATAAAGCCTTCCTGAACACATAAATGCATTCTTAACTACAGCTTGACATCCCATTTACAATGACCCTTTGGTACACCAGCATTAATGCTAGCATAGGAGTACAGTATAGGAATGACAGAATGAAATAAGCCATTTAAAGGGAGTGCTTTCTGTTGCAGGTTATCCTGAACGTAGATGTTCTATTTTTAAATACCTAACAGATTTTCATTTCTAAATAGATATAACATTACTGAACAACACTGCACATCTTTTCTTCTCAGTGTTTGGTGTTCAGATCCAGAAATGCTCCATGAAATAAATGTTCCCTTTCTTAAAACTGACGTTGTTTTCTTTTGGAGGTGGCAGGATTTTCAGATTCAGTGGGGTGCCAGTTTAGTAATTTTGTTCAAAGTGCATGGTGAGAATAATCTTTCTCCTAAAATGAAGCACAAGGATATGTAATAACTTTTTATGCATGATAAGCAACAAAAATATGAGCCTGCTGGTCTTTGCTTTTCATTTTTCTTTACCTTTGTCTTTCAGTCACAGCCTCCTGCAGTCTGCACACAATGTGATCAATAACTCAATAACTTTTTTCATGCAGTAATTATCTCYATGGGGTATTATCTGAACATTCTTTTTCTTTATTACCCAAAAGATGCAGGAGATATTTATATAACCAGCTGATCCCATTTTGGATGGAGCTGCTTCATGACAGCAGGAGAAAGTTTGTTTTAAATGGACTTTTTAACAAATGCTGAAAACCTTACTAAGCTGTCCTTTTTTCCTCAGGGAAAGATTATTCTAAATACTCTCTTGCACTTAATACTTTATATTCGATTAAGCACAGAGTAAATGGAAATGTCCTCTAAATTAACAGAGTTTTAAGCAATTATGCTAAGTGTGAGTGTCTTTTAAGAAGCCTATTCAGAAGATAGGTGCAACTGTTCTGAAGTTCCTAGATAATGACTTAGATTGCTGATTTTTCAGAGTAAAAACTTACCCTAAAAGATAATGTTTCTCTCTGGAATATAATCTAATTTCATTGGCTTCTAATTTTCACAGATCGAGATCTTACAAGAGTCACGAATGATGATTCCAGATTGCCAGCGCAGACTAGAAGTCGCACATGCAGAGCTTACTCAACTACTAGTGAGTATTGCACCATACCCCACTGATYAAGAAATGCTGTTGTTCTAGGTGAACTTGGATAAACAACAGCAGCAAATTAAGACTGATTAAGGAATTACTTTCTATTACTTTTCTGTCCCAAGACCAGCAAACTATAAGATCCCAGTATTTCACTTTAGTTAACTGTCTTTGCAGATCTGGTCTTCAGTCTGTGAAGATTGTGTATGTTGGAAGCTGTCTTTAACAGAATGCTTGACGTACACTTAGAACTCCGGTGCTAGTTCCATCATAGGGAAAATCAGTTCACCCACTTTAGGTTTTATAGATAGTGTAAATGTATATAATATGCTTGTAGGGATCTGAAATAATCAAAATACTTYGGTTACTATTTTTATTATGCTATGGACAGGTCAGATGAGTCCTTGCTCAGTATTGCTTTATGTTTTATTAGTGAAGTGAGCAGTACTGCCATGTTTTTAAGATATGAATCCCTGCAGAAATAAAGACTATCTGGTACAAAYAGATTCACAGAATCTATACTACATTTGGAGATGATCATGCTTATTTTGAAAGCTGCCTTCTCATCAAGAATTCAGCTACACATGTAAATAGTATTGTGAGGCTAAAATTATGCACCCTGAATTATGTCCCAGATGATACTGATGGCTAAAATACAAATACCTTTTCAATGAAAAACTCAAGTGTCCTAGTCTCAGGTAGTTTGCTGCTACTGTTTTTCAGAATAAATGCTCAGTTCCAGCCCCCATGCAGTGAGCAGGAACATCTGCCACTCCCTCAGGCTGCTTAGARCCCCATCCAGCCTGACAATGAGTATTTCCATAGATGAGGCACCTACCACCTCTCTGGGCAACCTGTCCCAGTGTTTCACCACCATCACCGTAAAAAACTTCTTCTGTATATTTAGTCYAAATCCACCCTCTTTTAGTTTAAAACCATCACCCCTTGTCCTGTCACAACAGGCCCTGCTGAAAAGTCTGTCCCTATATTTCTTGTAGGCCCCCCAATTAAGTACTGAAAGGCTGCTGTGAGGGCTTGTCCAGAGCCTTCTCCAGGCTGAATAAACCCAACTCTGAGCCTGTCCTAAAAGGCCCTCTGATCATTTGGTGGCCTTATCTGGAGTCACTGCAACTGTTCCATATCCTTCCTGTRCAGGGWCCCCAGAGCWGGATGCAGCCCTGCAGGTGGGGTCTCAGCAGAGCRGAGCAGAGGGGCACAATCCCCTCCCTGGCCCTGCTGCCCACGCTGCTCTGGATGCAGCCCAGGACACGTTTGGCTCTCTGGGCTGGGAGTGCTCATGGCTGGGTCATGTCCAGCCTCTCACCCAACCAYACCCCAGGTCCTTCTCAGCAGGGCTGCTGTGATCTGTTCATCCCCAGCCTCTGTTGATACCAGGGTTGTTCTGACCCAGGTGCAGCACTTGGAACTTGGTCTTGTTAAACTGTGTGAGATTGGGCCCTCTCCTAGAGCTTGTCCAGGTCCTTCTGGATGGCATCCCATGCCTCAGGTGCATCAGCTGCACCAYTCAGMTTGGTGTTACCTGCACATTTACTGATCTAATTTTCAATGTCATTAATGAAGATAATAAATAACATTGGTTGCCATRCAGACCCCTGAGGCACATCACTTATCACTGATCTCCATCCAAACATTGAGTCATTGACCAGTTCTCTGTCAGTGGCCATCCAGCCAATTCCTTATCCAGTGGCGTCCACCCATCAAATCCATCTCTCTCCAATTCAGAAAGATGTTGTGGGGGGACCATGTAGTYGACAATGATGGCTCAGTCACTCATTCAGACTTTTTGCAGTCTTTAGACTTCACCTGACTGCCCTGACTTTTCAAATATAATGGAGAAGAGCTTGGCAACTATACCAGGCAATTCCCTCAGGACTCTGGGAGGCATCTTGTGAGGTCCCATAGACTTAGGTACATTCAGTCTCCTCAGGTGGTCATGAACCTGATCTTTGCTCTCCCAGTCCCTATTGTATAGTCTGTCCATTTAAGAGGGGTAGGAAGAGGCTGCCAGTAAGACAAAAATATTGAGTACCTCAGCCTTCTCCTTACCTGTTGTTAGTAGGGTTTTTTACCTTCTTAAATTTAATCCCACAACAGTTACTTTTCAGAGTTCTCAAAAATGTTGGTTTTGATTACAGGAAAATGAAAAAGAATTGGAAGAAGCTGAAGAGTATAAAGAAGCACGTTCCATACTGGAGTCAGTGAAGCTGGAAGCCTAGCAGTTTTCCAGTTCTCTCTTYATATGCATTGGCACGGGGTCCATTCCACTCTTTTATTTGACTATGGCTCTATTATTATTGTTGACTTGCTAAGGTTCCCTTTATGCAAACTAACCTTTCTCTAATTGCAAGATGCATCAAATAAAGAATGCTCTGAAACACTTGTGTGTTCCATATTCAGGCAAAATAGATCTATTTCCAGTTCACCCCAATTTAAAAAAACCAATTAAAATAAAGCCCATTTTGCGTAATTAATATAGAGAACTTAAATCTGAAGAGTTCAGGCTAAGAAATAAAATTTGACTATGTGAGGGACCATTAACTACTTTAGAATGAAATAGCATCATAGAATRGTTTGGATTGGAAAGATTGCATCTTGTTCTCACCCCTTGACATAGGCTTTAGAAGCACCTTATATTTGAAATAATTTCAAGCCATTATAGCACAACAATGTGTATTGAAAGAGAAGGTAGACTAAATGACCCTTCTCAGTCACCCATTTTCTATGATGCAATTTTTCTGTAATTTTATCAAGTATGTACTCCTTGTTTTTCTTTGAGTCCAAGACAAAATTAAAAGCTGATTACAGATCTTTCTCAGTGTGCCTGACACTGATTTGTAGAGCCCAATTCATACAATTTGGATTGATCAAAATTTTGCTTTTCAGGAAACAGTTTAGCAGGGACTAGTGAGTTSCATCTGCTATTAAGAGTTCTGGACTGAATGCTTTTCCTGACAGCATCTTGGCTTAAGTTTTATTTTTTCTAAACAAAGTTCAAACCCTAGAACATGAGAAGAGCTCATGGGTGAGGGAACAAATGCTTAGTCTGCCTGGAAGACCATTAAAACACTATGTACAAAAGCTGTGTTTTTTTCCAGAGTAACTTCTCTAAAGCCAGTAGTAAGCTCTGTTGATATATGAGAAAGCTTTTTACATTAGTTTTTCTAGTTTGGAAGTGTTTTGGCATGTTTCTTAAAGGCAGCACAAAGCACAGTGTACCTTTTGTGTGGTGCTAAATTGAATACTCAATAAAATTTTTTGTTAATTTGCCTGAGTTTGAGTAAACTGCCGTTTCAGTACTTATTTATGTATCTTAGTCACATTGAGACTAGTAAGTCTACTTCTCCATCACACTTAYGCACTGCTCTGACAGATTAACACCAAAAGACTCAGAATGATCTACTTTAAAGTGACCCCAGACCAGTACCATAGAAGTCTAAAAAGTGAAAMCTGTTGTGACTGTATGGTTTCATAAGAGAACATGCATATCTCGTTATCAGCATTATGTCCAAGGCATGGAACTGCCAAGAGCACACCACCCAGTTCACAGCACATATAAACTGCTATTGCGAAAGACATGTCTTTGGATGCTCACTTTACCTAGTTTCTTCTGTGGACCTTCACTGGGAAAGGTAGCTGGAGAGCACAAAGCAGATCGTGTGTCTTAGCTGACAGACTGCAGCAATAAGTCTGTGTTTGCAGCCATGGAGTGGAGTGTGATGAAAAATACTGATCTGAAAAGGAGGTGTAGGGAGATGCCAACTTTGCTGGGTAAAATGGGGTTTAAAATAAAAATTGCTGTTCAGAAGAAGAAAGAATACACACTTCTGGAAAACAAGCCCACAGAAAAATGATGTGCAGTTACTGAGTACCATAAGAAATACAGCTTAATATGAAAGCTAAACAGGTGTGACCTATACTGGCTGAAGGAAAGTAGGATTGTCATGTGGCTTAGGTTGCCTTTAGAATGGAAGTGCCCTATCACTAAGTTCTCTAAAGATGGCATATTTTCCTGTAGTACAGGAAACAGCCAGTCTCAGTGATGAAAATCAATGTATGTTCACACATGAAAATAGTTTGTCTCCAGATGCCTCTGGAGGTGTCTTAACTTCTGGCGGTACAGCAGTRTGTTTACAGACTCCCAACATTCTATAGAAGAAGGAAGGATCTAACTGCTATTATTTTGGGTGAAATCCACAAAAAGCATAAACCACACAGAGCTGTTCTATGTCCTTATAACACCGTTTTAGCAACACCTCTTCCCCATTCCTGGTGAAACCTTTGAACTGAGCTGCAGTCGATCTGCATTGTAATACTTGGGGTATGGRAGAGGGACTTTGTGTCCTTGGTCTAACTCAAGAGGTTCCAATCAAGGGAGATGCTTGATACTTGGGCCATAGTTATTCCTCRTTGACTAGGGTCCTCAGAACTGCCACACTGGTATCACAGGTGGCTGCACAGGTTCTTAAGACTGAGCAATCACCAAGAATTTACTATTAAAACTGAATGGTCTGATCACCCCTAAAGGTAGAGTTCTCTTCACCCGACCTGTATGACAAAAGTAGAGTAGGAAGTGTGTGCATTTAATATGCGGTGATACCAGAGTATTCAGTATCTTCACAGACGCTATCAGAAATCACAAGGTTTCTGACAAACTGGAGAAAGTTTAAAATATTTCTTTTAGTAAGGACATATTTAAATAAGAAAGCAAACTTATACATGGAAGTAGCAATTTTCCACTGCACCAACAAAGAATAAAATAAAAAATAAAATAAAAGCTAGACAGCATTTCTGAGACATGGAAGAATGTTAGTGAATTATATGTTAAACATTAGCTTAGTTTAATAAGTGGCTCTTAAACAATGGGCAACAACCYTTACACTCCCTTTCTTATTAGAAAGGCTTTACTTAGAAACATAATGGCAACTAGAAGCTGCAACTAAAAGGATGGACAAGTAAGGATTCAGAGGGAAATGGTGAAAACTACTAAAAATACTGAAAAAATCTGTGTAAAAGAAGGAGCAAATCCAGACATTTTACTGGAGAATACTGAGGGTGGCAATGGTGATAATTTTCAAACATACACAGAATTATAGAGGAAAGTAATAAAATTTTCTTGGAAGAAAGAGTAAGATGCAATGACCTTTAGTTWTGAGGGAAAAATAATGTTGGACAGGCTCCTTCCTCAGAAAACAAATGAAGCTGTGGAACAGAGTGCCCATGGAGGCTGTTGGAGATGCCTTCCTAGAGGTCTTGACCAGACAGCTCAGTCACTTATGATACAGGGACAGCTGATCCTGCCTCATATTTACACACCATGAAAGATAGATGAGCATTCATCTTTCCTCAGCAGCACTTAACCTCTCACTCAAAAATATGAAAGATTTGTGACACAGCTGAAATKAACCACTTTTAATACAGCAGAAATCCCAAGTCCCCTCAAAGGAGAGGATTCAGTGATACCAGCCTAACTCTTCAGATCTTGCTCTGCACATTACAACACAGAGGACTCAAAGAAAGTGAAAATGGTCTTCCATAATGAACGTACCAGGAACTAATCTTTTCTGACTTTCCACTTCCTATTCAATCATCAAACACACACAGTGTCAAAAATACTTTAGGTTTCCACTTGTCATTCTATTTTATGTGTTAATTTTGTACACAAATGAGCTCATTCAGGGCAAAGATAGGAAGCCGAAAGTTTCACATGTAGCTGAAATCAGGATGGAACTTGCAAGGCAAGAAGTGAACTGTGAGGCCTACTGCAAACAAATGCGAGTGAAGTAGCAAATTTAGTTCAAAGTCTCACCATTCATACAGACTCAGAGCATGACTACAAGCCTGAGGGAAGAGAGAGGAAAAAGTGTTGTCTCTGACCTAATCATCTTCACAACCCTTCTCTCATCTGATCTCTCAGAGAACCCACTTTTTATAAGGATACTGAACAGAAAATACAAAAGAGAACCATTTCTGGGTTCTCTTCATGTGCAATCTTGGCTGTGCTCTGTTACCACAAGTAACACAATAAATCCAAACTTATGGGCTTAGGACTTCAAAGGCAATGTCAAAAGGGATGTGTGTCGCCACCTTCCCTCAGTTTTCTGAACATAAATTCAATCACAGTGAAAAAATCAGTTCTTGATCTGTGCAGACTACTTGCTAGCACATCCTAGCATCCAGCATTTCAGGGCAGACATCACCATTCTAGAACCATTCAATAWAAACACTAACAGAAAGAAGATAGACTTCTACAACAGTTTTGCTTCCCTACTGTTCTGAAGTTACTGTAGATACTACCTTACATGGAAGGAAACTCAATAACCCACAGAAACAGCCTCAATTAGTAAGGTTAACAGAGGCTGAATAGGTTGAAATTGGAAAAATATGCACATTATTTATGTATCAATTACTACTTGCTCTCCATTTCAACAAAAGGAAATAAAATTTTCTCATCTTTCCTAACAATCCAGAGGCTTCCTCCTGCCCCTGCATAATTAGCAGTAAATTTCACCACAGCTCTCCATAAGCAATCAAAAAGGCTACCTAATTAAAAAAGTAATTAGTTTACACAGATAGATGTGAGTGGGTAGATTAGTTGATGAAAATAAAATGAAATTCCTCTGGATGCTTTTAGTGACTTGGCTTTCTGCTCTTTTACAGCTTCTACACATTTCCAAGGGAGCAGGTTAAAAATAAGTTTAAAAATACTTATAAATGAATAGAGTATCTTTCAAAACCAATTGATCGGATTTGACTTGTCCTCTGTTTTCAACATAGAAGATAGACATCATATTTTATTAAGTTTATGTATAAAAATCAATGCCTCCATAAAAGTACTAATACGTTATGTATGTTCCGTTTTCTCGGGTCACTTTCACAATATCTAAGCACCAAARTGAACCAATGCTGAACCTGTAAAAGGAATGTATGAGCAACTCACCACCAGAAAAATACAGCATTGTAAAAAGCCTCAACAGCCCTTGATACTAGACCTCACCAAAGGGTCTTTTCCCCAGTCATCCTGCCATCAGTAGAAGCCAGAGAAAGCATATCAAGCAGGACTGCAGTKTTCCTGAGTAAAAATACACCTTCACACTCTCATAATTTCTCCAAATGAAGGAAGCTCCAGTGCATTGTGTGGTGGTAGCAGGGAGCTGTATTCTCACACTTGAACTGAGTACAGGTAGGGAACACAAAAGCCAGTAGCCAAAACTCAAGGGAAAACAAGTGTAACAAGTCTGACAATAATCCTTCATGAGAACTAGGAAGCTTTGCCAGAGCTTGATTAAGAAGCATCCTTCCTCCAAGGCTTTATCATGGTGCGTGCCTACTGGAACCTCACCTCCAAGAATGGATCAAACACCATTTGTCACATTCAAACAAAATTGCAGTAAGAACTCTGACCAGCACAAGGGAGGAAACTGCCTTTTTTAACTGTGGAAAAGAAAATGAAACCAAACATTCTTTGTTAAACAAATCGAACAGCTGTAAACTTATGCTCTTTTAAATTAAAAAAGGTTGTAACTGGAACTAAAGTTTTAAACAGTTTTATAAAAAATATACAAGTACTGTATACAGAAATTTTGAAACTTTTTTTTTTAAAGCCAATAATAAACTCACTTTGTTTGCCTTTGCTATTTTTGGAGTGCTACCAACTGATTCAAGGAGTATTGAGTTAACTGGCAATTTCTGGCTCCTATGGATTCTTAAGAATTCACTCTGAAATTCCACAGGCACAGTGGATGAGTCAGTAGGGAGGAAAGAAAAGCTTTTGGAGGGATGAAAACGAAGCAATTTTCACACCAAAGCTAAGCAACCTCAGATTACTTGCTAAAACAAATTTTAAATTGGTAATTATCAACATTATCTATGTACTGTTCACCAGCCTACACAGTGAGCTGGTGAACCTTGTCCATTTCTCACTATTACTGAGATTTTACAAAGAAACATCTAAAAAATCATCACATTAGGTCTTCACTGTGCCAGGGCAAGAGAGCAGAACCCATGTCTTCAAAGGAGCCTAGGTTGGAGCTGACATGGAAACTGTTTTCCTTTCATTAAACTTACCATTAAAAGGAGTGCTGCCAGAGCAACATTACAACACATCACAGAAACTATGAGTAAAGGTAAGAATGGTGAASTTTTTTCAAGAACAAACATTCTGTGGGGAAACAGAAGATTCCAGTCCCTTCTGCACCAAACACAGCATCTTTCAGAGAGGCTCCAATTTTAATAAAAAACTCAGAACTAGACCAATGCTCTATTTAGCCATCC